ATACATTTAGTTTGATTATGTACATAACTTAATCAGAGTTTAGAATCAAGATTTCGGTAGTGCTTTTAGCTGTTTATTGATAACTCAATCTATGCCATGGCTCTTTTAAGTACATAATCAATATTTTAAAGCTCAATCATAGTCCTCATCAATACCAATCAATAGGCACATATCTATCTATTGTTTTTTTTTTTGTATTGATTTCTTCTTGAACTAGCTGTCATTATTTTGATAATTGTTATTATTTTCATACTTGGCCTTGTAGTAAGTTAAGGTATCTACATATTAAGCAAAAAGACCAGATTTTTGTAGTGTCTTCAGTAATTTTATGTTAATCACACACAAAAATGCATCAAGTAAAAAAGTACCAAATAAAAAAAAACATATCTGGGATAGGGAAGTTGGAGGAAGGGAATTTACTTGCCTGAAGTAGATGTTTATTCAGGATTTGTGTATAATTATAAATTCATATTACTTAATTCACAGCTTGGTGGTATTAAGACTGTTTCATCATTGCTATTAAATCCTGCAAAATGCCATGATTATTTCTTCTGACAACTAAACAAATGAACACACTACGCTAAGCCACACTCAGACTGTCTGTAGTACATCGAATGGTTTCAATGTGGATTTTATGTTAATGTACTGGTACTTATTTAAATTTTCCTCGATTTATAAAGTGAAAGTACTGTATCTTCAATTTGTAGGCTATAGAAAATATCCAGAAAACAATGCCATTTAAATTTAATCTGAACCTTGCCACGTATGTTTGTGTACTTGTCTGAGTTTTTTATATGTATTTAAATTGTTTTTCTTGGATTAGTGGTATAACTTACTCCTATTGAAGGCCTTGTCGAAAACATTTTTGTCTCAACTTCATTAATAAAATCTGGGAAATTATACTTTGTTCCCGAGTTGCCAATGTCGCTACTTCTTTTTTTTTTTTTGTAGTACAGGTAGTATTAGTAGTAGTAAAAGTAGTAGAACTTTATTTATTCATGAAGCACAAATATGCTTTATGACTAGCATTTCATTGTATTTCAAATGTTTTTATCAAGATAAACGATATAATACGAAATATGCTATATGAACATTTATATTAAATCTAATCTGAAATAATAAAAACAATCATTAACAATCATCATAATAATGTTGATATGCAAATATCTATACATAGAACAAACACAATAGTTAATTGTAAACACAAATGATAATGTGAAGCACATAGAGGACTCAACAATATGCGCTATATAAGTCTACCATTATTAATATCATCATTATTATGCCAACAATATTTACAACTATTATAAGGTGGAGATTATAATTTCTGATCAAGATACTCTATTGTTTTATGGCCAGCATTTTATATATAACTTAATGATTTAATAAAGTTTAATTATCGCACAACCGTGATTCATTATATTTACGTGAGATACCCAGTATTGTCATCGTCGACATGCCTGTTAACAACTCTACTGCCCTCTGATGGTTGTAATGTTTAGTTGCGCAAATGTTAGATGGTTTACGGAGTGAAGAATAATAATTGCCCGCTGATGTCAAATATTGGAAGTTTGTTTTTTGTTATAAGCCTAGAATTAAGAAAATAAAATAAAGAAATAATATTAGAATTTGGACTAAATTTAGTATGACAATGTTTAATGTAAATGCTTCTTGGATAGACAATAACATTTACTCATACGACAGGATAACCTTGGGCTTCAAGTTTAGTAGCAAGATAACATGATCTTAACCTGACAGATACGCATATTTAATTAATTACTTTACTATATTAGTTACTGTATTACTTATTGCTGTTTTGAATTCATTGAGGGGTAGATTTGCACTTGAGACATCAATTTGTTATTGTTTGTAGGAAAAATGAAAAGTTGTATATGTTTATGCTAGCATGTATCTTTCTGATTTCTCGAGCTAAGGATGACCACGTTGGACCAGTATGAAATGGTATGTCAGAGGATGTGATGGCAACGAGTCAGTGAATAATCTTATGCATTTACGATAAGTCTAAAATGTGTGCGACATTTAAAAATTACAGTAGTTTTCATTTAAGTTGTTCCATCATTTTGAGTTACACTGCTCTCTTTTTTTCTTAGTTTTAGCTTAAAAAATGAATAGCTATGTGACTCCCAAAGAATTTGTCTTTAGGGCCTTCATATTTGAAATCTACACTTTCGTATATCAGTACTAGCACTCCTCCTAAAAGAAGTCGAGTTCAAGATATGGCAACAGTTTATACATAATTAAATTTTTAATTTGGCTTTAATATAAAGAAATATAAATTCAAAACTGCTGTATGCCTTATTGTTAAAAGATTCCATTTTATTAGCAAGGAAAACAAATATAGGATTTAAACACTGGACTCTGATATTGGAAGGCTAATCATATATTTTAAATCTTATTTATTTATTTATTTTCTTTTGAGTATAAACATTTTACTTCTGATTTTTTTTCCCCTTTAGTTAGTCCAGTTATCAAAATTCAGAAATAATTAATTTAAACCAGAATTAATTTATGTCCTTATATTTTACTTCCTTTTAAAAAAAAATATGGAATTCAAGTTATGTTATTATCCTTTCTAGAAAAACGAAGGCGGGAAAAATTGCATTCCACCATGAATGTACATCTGGTGGCATTATGATGTATCTGTGCATGTGTTTATTTTTCTGTCTATTCTCAGTAATTTATACATTTTAGTGTTTGAAATCTTTACCGGGAATTTCTCTGAACAAATGTCTGTACTGTAAATTACAATTACTATTGGGTAATTAAGGGCTATAGACACCTTTGCCTCGGCTCAACTAACCAATGATTCTCTTGGGTATTACTCCACCAAGCCAACCTACATTGTACGTGAACTTATCAACCTTAATCATAATGACAGTAATATATACATTTTCAGGATTTAACATTATTTTTAGTGAAGTTGTTCGAATATGTCAATGGGACAACCTCACCTGTTGTATACTACCACTTATTTTCATCTATATAGTGGTAGTTAGGGGCGGATTTCCAACCAACTAGAGGTGCCATAATCATCTTGCCTCAACCTTAACCATTATGGGGCTGAGGTGGGTGGACACACTCCCTCCCTGGACCCCTATTTCAAATTCCTGTATGTATTTTGCCACTGCTATCCAACAGCACCAAAATGGAGTTTACATGGGGAGATTTTGTGCATATGAAATGGGGTTTTTAACTTATTTTGCCGTTGAATATTATGCAATACTATCTACTTTAAAGTTGCTTAGTGAAGTTGAGTATTTCAAAATTGGCAGAATATTCCAAATGATCGGTATGGTATTGAAAGAAGAAAATTTAAGTGTTCGGGCAAAGGGAATACAGAAGGTTGGAAACTCTCTTCTATGATTAGGTCCAAAAAAAAATCATGTATATTATTGTTAAAAAGGCATAAGCAGTGAAGAAAGTGAAAATGAAAAGCTAATCATCTTGAGTATGAGTGCCAAAGATTACAATCATGTTTGGCTTAATGACTAACATAGGAGTTTATAGTTTATAAAACAGACTGCTCCCTTCTTTCCCATCTAACTGATTGAAAGTAAACTCATTAAATCACTTCTTAGAAATGTTTTCCATTAACGACAACACAAAAGAACAAAGTAAATGTGGATAAAAATTAAGGTCGATTTTGTTCTGTATATTTATATACCAAAATATTAAATAATTTTAAAATTATATATTCAGTTTTTATTTGAAATAGTGATTTAGTAGTATTACAGATAAGCATCCATCATAATTATCACCTACTGGGCCCATGTATATTGGGGTTATATTAATGTGGGGTATCTGTGGGGATGTGTGGGTTCATTCTTCTAAAAAACTTGTGTACCCCCTGGGTGCTCAAAGCTCTCCCACTGAAAATTTACTGTGGAAAATTATGCTCAAGTAGGTGAAAGCTCTCTCATCACTTTATTTTGCCAGCTAATTCCCACATCTCCCACTTACCGTTGACCTCTTCCCCACCCCCCTCCCCCACTTAACATTCATGCCCCAACCGCCAATCCCATGTCAGCTTCTAGATATGTCACCGTATTAATGGAATTTGCTTTGCTAGTTTAATGAATGGTTTAATACTCACAGGTTCAACAAATTAATCATTTACATTTGCATTTAATTTTTGAATTATAGAGGCCTTGGTCTGCTAGGAAAACCATTGCTTGAATGAAAAAGAGTTAAAATGATGACTTTGAGAATTACGTTTACTAATTAAAGATTGAAACATTTAAAGTAATGTCCTTCCTCCTCATTTGGAATTATTTTTTTGTTTCGAACATAATCATCACATACTGAATTTATGACGATCAAATTACCTTGAGCATTATCCTGAATTTATCAAAACCCTTGTTGATTACTGTGCGTTAAATATTTGAAGAGATAGGATATTTAAAAAATTTAAAGATCATACTTAATATAATTTAATGATTTTGATTCCTCTTAAAAATAATGAAAGAAATATGTGAGTTGCTTCACCACAATTAAGTAACAGTTAATCAATGTGAAATCTAAAGTCTAAAATAAGAATTGTTTAATAAAACATATATCATTAAAATACATTTGCCACTCCTAAAACATTTTGGAATTTTCCACTTTACAATGAATGAAATATGCAGAAAATTAAGAAACTTGCAATTCTCTTAAGCAAACACTATTAATTGTTTCTCATACTCTCTTTTATAAACATGTTTGGTTATAATTATATTTTTTTCATGCTTACATTTATTTAAAATAATAGTTTTAAATAAAAAATGTTATTTTAACTTCTCGATTAGCTTTAGGTTTTACATCCTTAATGAGGATGAGTTCCGAATATGAAATTAATATTTTAATATGCAAATAGCAATCTTGTTTCATAATACCTCACTGCCCTCTCCTGTCAACAAGCCTGCACTTAATATACCGCCATTTCCATCTCATTTAATTTATGCACATATGCCATGTAGCGTCGTAGTGTAGCAGAGCGAGGCTGTGGGCACGGCAAGATGAGACCAGTCGGTGCGGACACTTCAACCCTATGATCAGTATTTGGGAAATATCATTTGCATCGTAAGGTTTTTATTAGAATTTTCTGTCGTGTTACAAGGAAGAAACGTTCATGTTAATATTCACTTGTGAGTACTGTAGAGGATTTTTTTTATTCTGGGAGAAATTGTTCCCTCTGTCATTGTTTTGTCAACCGCTGCGTCTGTTACGCGTTGTGCTTGGTGAGAAACATCAACGCAATTATTTATACCTAGAAAAATATTATGCATACAATTAATTGAAAAATATAGTGTTTTAAAAAAATTAGAGGTAAAATAGAATTCAAATTGATATGTATATTCATTAATATTTCTTTTGACATTATAACGAGAACTCATTTTCTTCACCAATTAAGAGATACATAGATAATACCGTTCCTATCTCCTTATGGACTTTATTGCCTAGTAATTTACAAAAAAAAAAGGAGTTTTGTAGTCCATCTGTATTCAGTGAAAACTAAATAAATTTATCTGTGTCTCATTAAGAAAATGTACCTTATTAGATCCTTTAAATTTAGAAATTGTTTTTGTAAGTTTTTTTTTTATTATCAACTGTACTGTGTTCATCAATTCATCTTTATCTAAAATATCATAAATGTTTAAAAAATAAAACAGATATGTTATGAGTATGAAATATGGTAATATTTTACATTGATTGTCTTAAAATTGAATAAATGCATTCTTTTTTAATATTAATTACCATTTTATTAGATGTTGAATGAATAAATTAGTTACTTATTTTTTTATGATGATGATAATGTTTAATTATATTATATTATATAGTTATAATTATTAGATTATTGCTATTGATATTAATACTATTGATTATTATGTTATCGATTACTATTATTTCTTTTTACTATTATTGTTATTTTCTTTATTATAATTACATTAATTGATATTGTTTTAATAATATTGATTATTATGTTATCAATTAAGTATACTTTGGGAAAACACTTAAGCTTAAGTTTTCCAGTCTTCTACATTCACCAAACTTCTTACAAAACTGTTCTTAACTTTTTTTGAACAATTAAGTATAATTTAATTACAAAAAATGATCGCTTAGAAATATAATATCTTAATAATCCAAAAATAAAATAGTTTTGAATTCTCTTTATGATGCTAAGGAAGTGGAATAGTTTGTGGTTATGAAAAATCCAGACATAGTTTTTCGTGATTGAACCCAGAATCTTGGGATTATGAGGCGAGCACCTTTCCACCAATCTACATTGCACTCGTTCTACTCTCTTAAGTATGTAGGATGTCGAAAATGAAATATATCTTGTTCATTAATCTTACCAACCTGTTGATTTTGAATAGGAATATGTTTCTAATTAATTGGTATGTTCCTTGAAAATGTACACTTGGTAGTTTTGTTGCACACCTTGTTTTCAATAATTTATGGTAAATTAAAGACAAGTATCACTACCTTTTCTAATTCAATAATGTATGTTATTAGACAGACCTAGACTTAGATAAACTTTATAGTCATATAACACATTTAAATGTGAAACTCTGTTTCTTGTTACATTCATTAAATAGTTTCAGTATATACTGTAATATTCTGTATAAATACTTTTATGGTAATGGTAATGGCGATATACAAATGGGCCCCACCTGTGAGTCTGTCTCTTATACACATCTAGATGTGTATAAGAGAAATACAATGTACTGTACACAGAGTAAAGGTTATAATTTTTATTATAATTTTTTTTTCTTTTTTTTTTTTTGATAATTAGTATCCACATTATGACCATAAAATTTGAGTGAACATTGCAACAGCAGAAAATTTATGCAGGTACTTTGCATGATGACAATCCATGTTGGCGGCCATCACTATACAACAATAGGACCATCAAAAACAGTGACATTTACAATACTTTTCCACTACACAGTTAATATGGTATGTAGATTTGTTATAACCTTAATATAACTTCCAATTTTACCTTTTAATTACTTTTTATGTATTTACAATTCTGTTTTTTTTTCTTTTTGACATGCATTTTTGCATTTTTTTATGATTGTTTGAAGTTTTTCTTTACATTTTGTTTTTATTGCATTTCTCATTGAGAAAAAAGAGACAATAAAGAGAAAAAAGAGACAGTAAAGTTATTTCTTCAGATCTTAGCAGAAGCCTACTATTATCATTTTGATTATCTATTTTTTAATCATCATTATCATCAACATCCATATTATAATAATAAATCTGTGTAAATCTGGTTCTATAAAATAAAAACACAGGTAAAATTTTATTGACTATTTATTACACAAACTTGCTATATACATCTCATATTTTTTCAAAATTATGATTAAAAAACCAAGTCTATACAATTTTAAGTCAAGAGTGCCATAATAATAATTTTCTTACCTCAGCCCCAGCCATGGAGGGGCTGAGGTAGTCTATACCCTGCATTTGTGAAAGTTCTACCACTGCACACCATCACTAACCTCTTACCCCACTAGGCTTCTTGAAGGCGTCACACTACCACTACACCCCTACCATATCAATATTCAGATTTCCACTTAAACTACCCCTTCTCTACCACCACCACCTGACTTTATCCATACTTTCAATTTTTAATATTTCCTCCTTTTTTTTCACTTTCAGTCTCTCTGAAAATCTTGTAAGTGTACACCTGTCCAAATGTTTTCAATCAACTTTGCATTTTCAGTTTCATTTTTATAATCATGTCTTCTCTGAATAGTGTCATTATGTATTAAAAAAAAGATTAATAAAAAGACGTGTGCTGTATTTTGAAGGTATTAATTAGTTTCAATGATGCTAACCGTTGCCATTCATCAGTTTCATTACTTCTACAGAGCTGAATTTTCCAGGAAATCCAACATTAGGGACTTTCAATGAAGATGTTATATTATCATAAATAATGCAGTGCATATTACATTATACTTGCAAGCCACCTGCTGTGTTCTCATTTATCTAATCTGAATTTTCAAGAAATGTATTCTTCAAGTGTCCTATAATATTCCCGGAGTTTTTATGAAATTTATTCAAACCTTCTTGTTGGGAGATTATAATAGTGTCCTGTTTGTTTATGTGATTTATCAATAGGTCTATATCTCTTCATTCATTAAATATTCAGGCTTAGCTATGGGGGTTTTTTAAAGCTTTTTATTTAAAGATGTATTGTCCCATGCTAAATACCAAAAAAATCATAAAAATATTTTTTGAAATTAACTTGCCCATTTTGAAGTAACATAAAAGTTATCAACTTGAACATAGAAATTAGTGTATTTAAAAAATGTCTACCCTTCAGTTTACAGTGAAAAATGATAGAAACACTTTTATTATTTTTATTATAATTTTTTGGTTTAAAAATCAGGGTACACATTTTTTAAGTTCAATAATTTTTATGCACAAGTTAATAAATTTGTATGCTATTGCAATATGAGCAAGTAATTATTTAAAAATTATTTTTTATGATTTTTTGACATTAACAAGGGACAATACATCTTTAATAAAAAAAAAATGGGTGGAGGGGTATTATTATAGTAGATTATTATGGTAAAAGTAAAATAGACAGATATTGCTGTTTATATTACTGTTACAGACTTTTTTCCTGTTGTAGATAGATTGTAATTTTATTTACAAATCATTCAATATTAAAACATTGTTTTTCCATAAATTTGTGTGATGAGATAACTTTGAAAATTACATCATATAAAAACCTCATAATAAAATTGTGTCAGATAGCTAAAAAATCACATAAAACTAATTTACATCATCAGGTAAAAGGTAAAGTTTTCTCATTAGAACTAGTCCATGAATGTTTGGTCAAACTCACAGTGGCGATGGGTTTGGCTGTGAGTATCTGTAACGTTTGTCTGTCTATTGTGCTTTTCCATATATTCTTTCATTAATTAATAATTATAATTTTAATAGCAGGCTGCAGTTAATTGGTTTCTAATTTAGTATCAACATATGAGTTCAGATTGCCGGACGGTAATGGCCAGGCATTTTATACCATGCCCTTTTTAATATACATGCACTCAGTAAAATGCACATATTGAAATTCTAAATTAAAAGCGAATTGCCCACGGTAATGAAAACAAAATTTACATATTGTTTTCTTACCACCATATTTTCCTTTATTTGTTCAAAAAAGTTCATCTATCAATGGTTGTTATTACAGAGGTTTTTTATGATCAAATTTATGGTGATTAATTAATTCAATTCATTAACTAGGTTGAATATTCAATGCAGTCTTTCCTCCACCTGTAGACCTACCATGATATTGAATCATTCGCCAAAGAAAATTATTATCAAAGTACTGTAGAACAAACAGAAAATAATAATGATAACCGTGTCAAACTAATAATATTGAACAATAAATGCAATTTTGAAAATGCTTACTTAATATGTTTGCTGAACAGTTCAAATATTATTGTCCATCGAGACCATTAAATTGCTGGTATGGTACAATAATAATTTTTGCAGTTGAATTTTTGTAAATCAGCAAAAATAGATTCGCTTTTAGCTGTGTCTCATCAGAAGTTTGTTTGTTTGTTTTTTTTTTGTTTTTTTTTTTTTTAATATGATGCATGGAAAGGTTCATGAGTAGTAATGACATGCATTACAAACCTATAATCAATGAAGATGCCAAAGCAAAGGAAAAATTAAAGAGAGGAGAGGTTAAGTTTGTTAATGGCACATCTGAAGGCCTTAGGCTTAAAAGGAAGGAGGGAAACAAGAACTACGTAGGTAGTTTGTTCCATAACAAAAAGGTGTGAGGTATGAATGAGGATGAGTGAGAAATAATACGATAAGTGTAAGTTTGAACTGAAAATTGGTGAATGGTAATGGCAGACATGGTCTGCCTGGCAGGAGTATGTTATGGGGGAAGAATGGCCTTCAGTTCATTTGAACATTGGCCAAAAGTGTACCGATAGTACAGGGAAAGATCTGTAACACCGTGTCGAAGAGCGACAGAATGGTGAGACTGGGTTTAGTTTTGGATCTTATTGCTGTTAAATGAACCTTGTTCTCTTGATATTAAGAGTTTCCAGTTGACATCTGAAGAAACGTTAATCCCAAGTTGTAAAAGCGAGTTGGAGATTCAAATATCTTTTTCATTCATCTCCACAGCAGGATAGGTTTTATTGCATTTCTGGGAAATAACAACTTGTTCTGTCGTGTTGATGTTGAACTTGACTAGATTGTCAGATCCCCATCTTAGGGCTTTGTCTAATCCATGATGAAGTTAATAACCTAATTAGATTTTAGAAGGTTTACCTAACTTCAGCATGAGCAGTATTTTAATAATAATGTTATAATTATTATACTATTAGTACATCTACTAGTAGTAACCTGTCTCTTATACACATCTAGATGTGTATAAGAGCTGTAGGCCTACTTTTAACAGATGTGTGTAAGAGATATATATATATATATATAATTCAGCAAGTAGATAATTGAAATAAATGAAGTTAAAAACAAACAACAAACATTTTATTTTAAAAATATGGTCGAATCTCACTTTTGAATTAATTACTGTATATTAACCAGGGAACAGTTTGTTCCCTGATATTAACTAATACATTTTAAATAAAGGTTTTAAAGAATTATGCTCATTATTTCCTAGTAGTATAAGCTATAACCAGATATTCATTTCAATTAGGCTCCTGATATTTAATTAGGTTCTAAATGAATTTAGTTTTGAGTGACCAAGTAATGACTATATTGTAATTAATTTCTGTTTATACCATAGTCTAAACAATGTTTCTTATTGGAAATCAACCAGCGACGAATACAGCCTTAGTTTGTTTCTTTAATAATAAATCAATGATACAAGAATGCGATACAATTGCACGTAATTGACAAACTCAATAAAAGCGTTTACTCATTGATCTCCGCGGCCAAGAACCGCTGCTGCTACTTGTTAACGTGACAGCGCGGCTTTGGTATGAGGTGTCCGGATCATAATGAATTAATAGCCATGTATTAGCGAAGCAATAAACGACATAATCAATAGTTCCCGGCTATTGAGGGTGGTTCTTGCTTAGTCATGCGTTTACTATCACACGTTGTTTTGACGCGTGAATCAATGTACTCTAGACCGGTAGCTCTCGTCAATTAGTCATCGTAACGATTGAGTCATCAAATCAATAATTGTCCAAGGAGGTTGAATGGCAGTTTTCAAATCTAGTTAAATGGAATATTAAAATATGTTAAAATAAGTCAATTTGAGATTTTATTTTTAACGTGAAAAATTCAAATGAATCATTGCTAATTAGGACAAATTAACAAGATGGCTTGAAGAATTTTTATTCCACTGATGAAATTATAAAAGATTTCTATATATTTAAAAATTGATATTCCTAATAAAAGTTGTTTTTAATAATAAAATTACCAGGGAAAATTCAGTATTAATTTTTTTTTAGACAAAGTGGTCCCTATAAGAATAGTATTTTATAAATATATAATTACAAGTTTAATTAATTAAAATGATATTTCATTATAATATATTAATTAATAGCTTGTTATTAGGTATGTACACATTTGTGATGATTATAATCAGCATTTTATTTTGATGATTATTGAAATGATAACATTTAACAATAAAAAAAAAAACATATATTCTTACTAATCCTTAGCCCTTATCAAATTTGTTTTAATGTTAAATCCATATATGGTACAATTTTCAGACAATGGTTAGATAAGCTTTTGTTGTAAATGATAATATCCAAAAATGACCTCATTAATAAGGTATTTAATTGGCAATTAGTCAATAAGTATTCCAACTCTGCTAGTTTTCAATCAATAACAGTATAATAATTTGTTGCACAGTTTTAATTATCATTCCTATCATGATCGATTAGATAACAACCGCGTTTAATCTTGTGCTATATACTACATGCTTGTCGTATAGAAAATGAAGAATTATCGGTTTATTGTGGCCAGGCTCGCTTCCACCTGTGATTATAACAACTCTCAGGCTGTTATCGAGCGACTATCAGTTTTTAATCTGATCACATTGACAGTTCGTCTATTCATGCTATTGTTGTTTTAGATCCATATTTCAACAAGATGATCTGGTGTTTGATCAATTAAGTTGTTGATTAATTAATTACCAATGTGTATTCTCACCTTGGTATCTATTGGAACAAAAGCTGTGTGACAGTTGTATATTATCGCTGAAGCCTTTATCAATAATCTATTGAACGTTAAAAGGATTATAGAATTATTAACAGGTTTTGGCAACTCTGTGGCCGCAAATCATTGGTTAAGTATTTATATTGATATAAACAAAAGATGTATGGAATGAGCAGGCAGAAGATAAATACTCTAACATGTACCCAATTATTATTGTCTTTTCCTGCTTTAGCAGAAAAAGCCATTTTTTTTTTTGTTCTGATTATTTTTTTATACCCTGTTTTCCTATGTTTTTCCACAGGGTTTTTCTGTCTGGCACTTTAGCCACCTCCTGCACTTGTATCTTCTTTGTCCAAGCAAAGACCACTTACTAAAGATGTGCATATTAAAATATGACATCATTCTACATTTTTGCATATTAATAAATCAGATAATTTAACTTTCATGTTAACGCAATTTGCATTTTTTAATGCGTTTCAAACTAGCTACAGCTGCAGTCCCTTAGGCAGGATTTTCGATGGGGAGGTGCGTTTTGCAAGCGAAGTAGAACTTATACTCGGGGAGCCTAGGCCCCCGCTGGGTGGCGGGCCGAAGTCCCGGAAGCTTCAATAAGTTAGCATTTTGAGCACCTTATAAATGGATTTCTAGGTCAATACTATAACGACTAGATACTTATATAAAGAATAGTGACGTAGCTCGACGAGACCTTAGGTTCAATAATTAGTTGAGGTTACATTTGCTAAACTACTGGCCCAGTAATTATGTGTATTAATTTAAGCCCATTGAAAACATATTTTATGACAACTTGTATTTAATCTAGATTTTGTATTCTTGTACTGAAAGGCCAGCAAATGAGAAATTGATCCATATATA